ATTAGGATATTAAGTAAAGATCATGTTCCCTGAAGATATTTAGTAAATGTTCTACCGTAAATATATCAAAACTTAATGTTTGATTAGTAATATGCATGGCTAAGAACTTCATTTGGACAACTTTAAAGATGATTTTCTCAATATTTAGATTTTTTTGCACCCTCAGATTCCAGATTTTCAAATATTGTCCTCTCCTAACAAACCATACATCAATGGAAAGCTATTTATTCAGCTTTCAGATGATGTATACATCTCACTTTCGAGAAATTGACTCTTATGACTGGTTTTGTGCTCCAGGGTCACATATGTTCTGTGCAAAATTGAGCAGAAACACAATATTGTGTTTAAAATATTACACAATATTAACTTCTTATTTACTGAACTGTTGTATAAAATCACATTTGCACTCATGCTATTCGGGACAGAAACGGCACTTATCATATAATATAAATATGAGACAAAAACATATTTTTTGCCACAATATCTTGAATTTCAGGGCATAACTGCATTTATGGATGCATCACATTTGTCAACAGTCAACGGTATGAAATGTAAGATGATGTACAGGTCTGGGGGCGGAGCCAGTGCGTTAACGGCGTTATTGTTTCATAACAAATGAATTAACGCGTTGAACTGACAGCCCTAAAAATGCTTTGTTCTTGTCTTCCAGTACAAGTACCAGGTGAACGTGGACGGGACGGTAGCGGCCTACAGGTTTCCGTACCTGATGCTGGGGGACAGCTTGGTCTTCAAGCAGGACTCGCCGTACTACGAGCACTTTTACACACATCTGGAAGCAGGTGTGCACTACATCCCTGTGAAGAGAGACCTGTCTGACCTCCTCCAGAAGATCCGATGGGCTCAGGTACGAACGCTGACTTCATGTGCATCTTACAGTGGCAACACTGCAAAAGCTGTGTATTGTTTTGTGAGCACACACACACACTTGTGGTTTGATATATGCAGAAGAATGACACAAAGGCAGAGGCTATAGCGAAGAGCGGACAGTCGCTGGTGAGAGATGTGCTTCAGCCTCACAGACTCTACTGCTATTACTACAGCGTGCTTCAGGTAAGAGCCTGTCATTTATACACACACACACACACACACACACACACACACACTACCGCTCAAAAGTTTGGGATCAGTAAGAGTTGTAATGTTTCTAAAGAAGGCTCTTCTGCTCATCAAGGCTGCATTTATTTGATCAAAAACACAGAAAAAAATACGTAATCTTGCAAAATGTTATTACAATATAAAATAATGGTTTCTATTTGAATATCCTTTAAAATATAATTTATTTCTGTGATGCAAAGCTGTATTTCCATCATCATTACTCCAGTATAAAGCATCACATGATCTTCAGAAATCATTCTAATATGCTGATTTATTATTAGAGTTATCAATGTTGTGCTGACAAATATTTTTTGGGAAACTGCGATACTTTTTCAGGATTCTTTGATGAATAAAAAGTTAAAAAGAACAGCATTTATTCAAAATAGTAATCTTTTCTAACAATATAAATCTTTGCTATCACTTATCAATTTAACACATCCTCGCTGAATAAAAGTTTTAATTTCTTTCAAAAAAAGAAAGAATAAAAATGTACTGACCCCAATCTTTTGAACAGTAGTGTATATTGTTAGAAAAGATTTATATTTTAAATAAATGCTCTTCTTTTGAACTTTTCATTCATCAAAGAATCCTGAAAAAAGTATCACAGCTTCCAAAAAATATATGAAGCAGCAGAACTGATAATAAATCAGCATATTATACTGATTTCTGAAGATCATGTGACACTGAAGACTGGAGGAATGATGCTGAAAATACAGCTGCGCATCACAGAAATACATTACATTTTAATGTATATTAAAATAGAAAAATTTTATTTTACATCATAATAATATTTCACCATATTAAATTTTTTCCTGTATTTTTGATCAAATAAATGCAGCCTCGATGAGCAGAAGAGACTTCTTTAAAAACATTAAAAATCATTCTGATCCCAAACCTTTGACCGCTAGTGTATATATATATATATATATATATTAGGGGTATAACTGAACACAAACATGACGTACCTCGGTTTGACGTCACGGTTCGGTATGGTTTCGGTACAGCAGGGGGAAAACTAAACATAAAATTGATTTTTATTTGAATTATTAAACAGTTCAATTATAACAAAAATGTTCTTAGGGATAAAAATGACCTCAGCTTATGTGCTAAACTACAGCCCTTTTACATGACTAAAAAAATGCTGTTTCAACCCAACTTTGGGTCAAATATGGACTAACCCAACTTTTGGGCTAAAAATTGTTGAATGTAAAAATGTAACCCAACAGCTGGGTTAGTCCATATTTGACCCAAAGCATTTTTTAGCGGTTAAATATAATAATATACAGTAAATATAAAACAATAAGCACTCAACTTAAAAAAAAATATTACGCAAACATGTAAATTGCACATAATGCAATTTTTAAATTAACGTCCAAATCATAAAATTTCTATTTGTTGTTGAAATATAGGCCTATTCATTTACGCAGTGGCTGTCATAACTTGTTTCATAACAGATTTATTTAAACACACATTAAATATAACAGGTATACAGGTAATAACAGGTCAAATATGATGAGTATATAGTCTAATATTTCACGAAATTTGAACGTTTGAGCCGAGGCGTTTATACAGCGATCTTCAAAGAGCGTCAAAACATTTATTATTTGAATTTCATGAAAAAAATGTAACATCATTTGAAAGATGAGACTTTGTTTCTTGTCAAAAGTAACAATATATCAAACTGGACGATTCCAGTATGTATATATATATTATATATATATAGCTGAATATTTTATTTATATTATTATTTATTTTATTTCAGATTTGAGCTTATAAAATGGTCAACAACTTCATATTTTTCAACTAAAACCATATTGTTTCTGAGCAAGAATTTCTCATTAATATGCAAAAATGTGGATATTTTTGGACATTTACTGTTATTATTTATTTGAATATATCTTTACTCATTTATCATTTCTTAAAAAAGATATGCAGAAAATGTATGTTTTTTTATGTAACATAATTATGTTGGTTATGATGGTCATCATAACCCATTTCCAAGGTTTTGTTTCAGTACTAAAAACAACTGTCCTGAATGCAATGCACTCGTTTCACGACGCGTTTAACGCTCATCAGCATTGAAAATCCTATAAAAATAAAAATGTGAAAAAGGTCCGTATGAGGGTTAAATGCTTAATGCACACAAAAAGGATTCTTGCATGACAGTATGCCATCGTTTAGTTTGCAGATGGTCACAAGGTCCGTTCTGCTGGATGTGATGTATTTTCTGTGCTTTGACAGACGTACGCAGCTCGTCAGAGCACTCGGCCTGCGGTTCATCCCGACATGGAGCTGGTTCCTCAGCCGTCTGATCACAGCGCTCTGTGCGACTGCCACAGATCTCCAGAGGAGCAGAAGAACGAGCTCTGAGAGCAGCTGCCTTCCCAAAACTCATTCAGTGACACCCAATCAGAATCAAGCAGGTCTGCTGGGAGTGACATGTTTAACAGAGAATTATGTGCATTAATCCCAGTTTTCCCTTTTTTTTTTGCACCTGACTTCTGATGCCTGTTCGTTTACTTTACAGAACAGAACCCCCCCATTATTTATATACATGCAATATTGCTGATTGCCCAGAGAACATCAACACATTCCTAACACTACAATACGTGACGCTGCAGCACAAAAGCAGTGTTAAGTCGCTGGGGGATATTTGTAGCAATAGCCAACAATACATTGTATGGGTCACAATTATACATTTCTCTTTTATGACAAAAATCATTAGGATATTAAGTAAAGATCATGTTCCTTGAAGATATTTTGTAAATGTCCTACCGTAAATATATCAAAACTTAATGTTTGATTAGTAATATGCATTGCTAAGAACTTCATTTGAACAACTTTAAAGATGATTTTCTCAATATTTAGATTTTTTTGCACCCTCAGATTCCAGATTTTCAAATAGTTGCATCTCAACCAAATATTGTCCTATCCTAACAAACCATACATCAATGGAAAGCTATTTTTTCAGATGTACACATCTCAATTTAAAAAAATAGACCCTTATGACAGGTTTTGTGCTCCAGGGTCACGTATCAAACATGCTTTAAAACATTGGATTCTTTGCCGGCTGTGCTGATGATATAGACTAGAGCCTACGCAGCTCTGATGCTGAGGAGTTTTTGACTCAAACCTCCGTCAAAAATCTGTGAACAAAGTGAAGTCTGACTGAAATGACGTTTTATGCGCTTGCCTTAAGCTTTAACACATTCCATTGGTTTCCAGTGTTCGTTTGTGCCAGATCAGCTCAAGCTCATGGGAAAACATTACAGTATTTTACCATTTTGTATGAATTTGTGCTGTGAGAATTATACAAAAACGTGATTTTTAGAAATAAAGCAAGCATGAAGGTCCACTCCTGCTACAAAATTTCACAAATTAGCCACCAGATTGCAATGTCGTATTCTATAAGACTTTTGAAAAACTTTTGTGATCTGGACATACTTTTTGTATTAGTGTTTTTATTTTTTGTTTTAAGAAATAGTTCGCCCAAAAATAAAAATTTGCTTAAGATACACCTGTAATGTTTTCTTCGAAGGCATTTTTTATAAAAATTGCTTAAATATCTTATCTTAAGCCAGGACTAGTCCTGGCTTAAACTAAGCCCTGTTGGTGTTAAACTCACAAGGGGCCTTCATGAAGGAATTCAGTCAGTTTATGTTAGTTTGCATCGTCCCATAGAAATGGTGACCCCTTCTCCGGAACTCACCTGCTGTGAAGAAACTAGACTCATGATGATGACCCACTACTTGAAAGGGGAAATACTGTAACCAGAGGACACAATTCTTTTCAATCGCAATTGAGCGCTGTGCATGAACAAAAGCCAGCAGCATTTTATTATCTGGTCACCAAGAGCTGAAAAAGCCACACGGTGGAGAAGACACGCTGGAACTCACCAGGAGTGAAGCAGCTGCTTTTTCACACTGTAGTTATCCCACACACCGGCCTCTCCTGCGATCATGGGCTCACCTGCGCACACAACACACCACACTGATGCACACACAGGAGCACGAGCATCTCGAACGGCTTCACAGGTGCGGTGTTTTAACATGGAGGTACATCTTACTTTTACATACACTGGTGCCTCCAAGTAAGACTCTTAGACACTAGAGTGCACTGCACAAACAGCTTACAGACAGTAATCCGAGTGTATAGCGAGACATGCCTGTGCTCAGATCCACTCCCACCAGCGCTCCCGTCTCTTTGAATTCACTCTGCAGCTTCACCAGAGTCTCTTGAGGATCATAGCCGGAGTTCTGAGCCAGAACCTTGCAGGAGGAGAGAAACTGGAGTCATTCAAAGACACCTTTAAACAAGAAGCTCGTCAACTCGCATGTAGGGCCCTGTGGAATCCCTTTTATTTTTCCCCAAATTCAGCTTTTTCCATTTTCATTGTTCTGGATTCCATTATTTAGTTTTTTTGTATTTCTGGACTCCTTTTTAATGGTTAAATTAAACTATCAAAAAGCATGTCTACTTTATTAAAATCATGAAACTTAATACAATTTAACATCGATATATTATATCGAGCACATTTTTAGGGCCCTATGAAAAACGCTTTTTTTTTTATTTTTATTGTTACCAAATTCTGTTTAAGCATGTCTAATTATTTGAATGCATGAAACAACTTAATTTATAAAAAATTATTATTATTTTTTTTTACAATAGTCCTATAAAATGTTTCGTTTTTTCTGTGTTGTGTTTTAAAATTTTTATGTTTATCAGATGGAGGCATAAAACTAATTTAATCTTTTAATCAAATGAAAACAAACTTTGTTTTTGGCAAGCAGTTTTAACACTATTAAATTCAAACATTGTGTGATTATTCCTTAAATAATTTTTTTATTTATTAGTAGTAGCCCTAATGCACATTGGGCTCTAGAGGCAGAAACACAGCCGTTACCCCGGTAACCCTGTAACCAAAGGAGCTGCCACACTGTTTCAAATAAAACAAATTCCGTGTTTATAACTGGATTCCGCAATTCCGTCCATGTTTTCCACATTGCAGAAATCATAGGGCCCTAATACATGTTTAAAGATGATTTGTGTTCTCCAGTACCTTAGGGATGATGAGGAGGGCGTCAGCAAACGCCTGCACACCCAGCTGGGCTCGGCCCTTCACTTTGGGCTTGTGTTTAACCAAAGCATCAGCTACAGCCACCTCGAACGCACCGGCCCCCGCCACAACCGAACCTGTGAGAACACCAGCACAACGCCCCACATTAACCCCTAGCATCGCTACACAGCATTACGGACATTTGAAGGAGAATTCAATCTTTTCTTTAAAAGAGTGGCAATGAAAGTGTAAGAGGAATACAGATATTTAAAATGTATATGCTTAGGTTGCAATCAGCTATGCAGGGAAATGGAACAAGTGCATAATATAAAACTAGTCTAAACTTCCAGAGAAGTCATCACCTCTAAAGGATTTGTTATTTTAATTTACTCCATGAGGTTCACCTATAATGTTTAAGTTTTTTTTGCGCAAAAAAAAAAGTGATTTTCAAGCTATTATTTTCAACCCCACACTGAACGCGAAAATTCGGCACAAATGTTTGGCGCGATGACGCTTTTGAATCGAAACAATAGATCCCTATGGGGCTTCATCGGCAATTCGCCTCGCTTTTTCGCAACGTGCTCCGTGTGAAACGGCCTTTATTCTGAGCCTCCGTATGAATGATCGGTTCAACATCAGGGGGCGGAGCCATTAACCATCGAGGGGTGCGTTTCCCAAACGCATCGTTAGCTAACTAAGGCCGTTAGTTCAACAATGGAACCATAGTTTCTTTTGGGAAACGCACCCCTGAACGTTAGTGGCGGATCCATTAACCAACTGAATGCCAGTGGGCGGAGTCATCAACCACCTAAACATCAGTGGGTGGAGCCATTAACCATCCTGGGGTGCGTAGCCATTAATCATCCTGACCCTCAGTGGGCGGAGCCATTATTCATCCTGACCCTCAGTGGGCGGAGCCATTATTCATCCTGAACCTCAGTGGGCGGAGCCATTATTCATCCTGAACCTCAGTGGGCGGAGCCATTATTCATCCTGAACCTCAGTGGGCGGAGCCATTATTCATCCTGACCGTCAGTGGGCGGTGCCATTAAATCACCCTGACCCTCAGTGGGCGGAGCCATTATTCATCCCGACCCTCAGTGGGCGGAGCCATTATTCATCCCGACCCTCAGTGGGCGGAGCCATTATTCATCCCGACCCTCAGTGGGCGGAGCCATTATTCATCCCGACCCTCAGTGGGCGGAGCCATTATTCATCCCGACCCTCAGTGGGCGGAGCCATTATTCATCCTGAACCTCAGTGGGCAGAGCCATTAATCATCCTGAACCTCAGTGGGCGGAGCCATTAATCATCCTACTTTATTAAAATCATGAAACTTAATACAATTTAACATCGATATATTATATCGAGCACATTTTTAGGGCCCTATGAAAAACGCTTTTTTTTTTATTTTTATTGTTACCAAATTCTGTTTAAGCATGTCTAATTATTTGAATGCATGAAACAACTTAATTTATAAAAAATTATTATTATTTTTTTTTACAATAGTCCTATAAAATGTTTCGTTTTTTCTGTGTTGTGTTTTAAAATTTTTATGTTTATCAGATGGAGGCATAAAACTAATTTAATCTTTTAATCAAATGAAAACAAACTTTGTTTTTGGCAAGCAGTTTTAACACTATTAAATTCAAACATTGTGTGATTATTCCTTAAATAATTTTTTTATTTATTAGTAGTAGCCCTAATGCACATTGGGCTCTAGAGGCAGAAACACAGCCGTTACCCCGGTAACCCTGTAACCAAAGGAGCTGCCACACTGTTTCAAATAAAACAAATTCCGTGTTTATAACTGGATTCCGTCCATGTTTTCCACATTGCAGAAATCATAGGGCCCTAATACATGTTTAAAGATGATTTGTGTTCTCCAGTACCTTAGGGATGATGAGGAGGGCGTCAGCAAACGCCTGCACACCCAGCTGGGCTCGGCCCTTCACTTTGGGCTTGTGTTTAACCAAAGCATCAGCTACAGCCACCTCGAACGCACCGGCCCCCGCCACAACCGAACCTGTGAGAACACCAGCACAACGCCCCACATTAACCCCTAGCATCGCTACACAGCATTACGGACATTTGAAGGAGAATTCAATCTTTTCTTTAAAAGAGTGGCAATGAAAGTGTAAGAGGAATACAGATATTTAAAATGTATATGCTTAGGTTGCAATCAGCTATGCAGGGAAATGGAACAAGTGCATAATATAAAACTAGTCTAAACTTCCAGAGAAGTCATCACCTCTAAAGGATTTGTTATTTTAATTTACTCCATGAGGTTCACCTATAATGTTTAAGTTTTTTTTGCGCAAAAAAAAAAGTGATTTTCAAGCTATTATTTTCAACCCCACACTGAACGCGAAAATTCGGCACAAATGTTTGGCGCGATGACGCTTTTGAATCGAAACAATAGATCCCTATGGGGCTTCATCGGCAATTCGCCTCGCTTTTTCGCAACGTGCTCCGTGTGAAACGGCCTTTATTCTGAGCCTCCGTATGAATGATCGGTTCAACATCAGGGGGCGGAGCCATTAACCATCGAGGGGTGCGTTTCCCAAAAGCATCATTAGCTAACTAAGGCCGTTAGTTCAATAATGGAACCATAGTTTTTTTTGGGAAACGTACCCCTGAACGTTAGTGGCGGATCCATTAACCAACTGAATGCCAGTGGGCGGAGTCATCAACCACCTAAACATCAGTGGGGGGGGCCATTAACCATCCTGGGGGGCGTTTCCCCCAAAAAGAACTATGGTCGCAAGTTCCGTCATTACCAATAGAGTTCAATGGAACTAATGACCAGTTAGCTAGCAATGCTTTTGGGAAACGCTTCCCAGAATATCAGTGGGCGGAGTCATTAACCAACCGATTGCCAGCGGGCGGAGTCATTAACCAACCGACTGCCAGTGGGCGGAGTCATTAACCATCCTGGGGTGCATTTCCCAAAACCATCATTAGCTAACTATAGTCGTTAGTTCCATTGAACTCTATTGGTAATGATGGAACTTGTGACCATAGTTGCTTTTGAGAAACGCACCCCTGAACCTCAGTGGGCGGAGCCATTAATCATCCTGACCCTCAGTGGGCGGAGCCATTAATCATCCTGAACCTCAGTGGGCGGAGCCATTAATCATCCTGACCGTCAGTGGGCGGAGCCATTAATCATCCTTACCCTCAGTGGGCAGAGCCATTAATCATCCTGAACCTCAGTGGGCGGAGCCATTAATCACCTTGAACCTCAGTGGGCGGAGCCATTAATCATCCTGACCCTCAGTGGGCGGAGCCATTAATCACCCTGAACCTCAGTGGGCGGAGCCATTAATCACCTTGAACCTCAGTGGGCGGAGCCATTAATCATCCTGACCCTCAGTGGGCGGAGCCATTAATCACCCTGAACCTCAGTGGGCGGAGCCATTAATCACCTTGAACCTCAGTGGGCGGAGCCATTAATCATCCTGACCCTCAGTGGGCGGAGCCATTAATCATCCTGACCCTCAGTGGGCGGAGCCATTAATCACCCTGAACCTCAGTGGGCGGAGCCATTAATCACCCTGAACCTCAGTGGGCGGAGCCATTAATCACCTTGAACCTCAGTGGGCGGAGCCATTAATCACCCTGAACCTCAGTGGGCGGAGCCATTAATCATCCTGACCCTCAGTGGGCGGAGCCATTAATCATCCTGACCCTCAGTGGGCGGAGCCATTAATCACCCTGAACCTCAGTGGGCGGAGCCATTAATCACCTTGAACCTCAGTGGGCGGAGCCATTAATCAACTGTTGTAATGTTTGTCTCCCTACCGTCTTCAATGGCATTTTTGACGGCTCTGAGTCCGTCTCTCACGGCGTCTTTGATCTGAGTCAGGGTGTGCTTGTTGGGTCCTTTCACCAGCAGCGTCACAGAACGAGGGTTGCTGCACTTCTCGATGAACGTGTATTTCTCCTCTCCCTATAGCAAAAGGCCAAATAAATGACAAAGAACTAACATTCAGAGAGTTCTGGGAGTTTAGAATAAAATCAGTGGGCGGTGCCATTAAATCATCCTGAACCTCAGTGGGCGGAGCCATTAAGCATCCTGAACCTCAGTGGGCGGAGCCATTAATCAACTGTTGTAATGTTTGTCTCCCTACCGTCTTCGATGGCATTTTTGACGGCTCTGAGTCCGTCTCTCACGGCGTCTTTGATCTGAGTCAGGGTGTGCTTGTTGGGTCCTTTCACCAGCAGCGTCACAGAACGAGGGTTGCTGCACTTCTCGATGAACGTGTATTTCTCCTCTCCCTATAGCAAAAGGCCAAATAAATGACAAAGAACTAACATTCAGAGAGTTCTGGGAGTTTAGAATAAAAGGCCAGTGCTCACCAGTGTGTGTTCGTACACGAGTCCAGCGTGACCCAGACACTCCGGCGTCAGATCGTCCACCGAGTTCATCGCTACACCACCGCAGGCCAGAGTCAGCCTTACGGGAAAACAACACATTTTCAAGAGTAAGAGGAAAGTGGATGTTTTGTTTTTCACTTTGAGCCATTTTGTCCGTACAGTAAAAAAAACTAATGAGAAAAAATGTTGCAAGCTCTTCATTGAATAATCACTACATAATTGGGCAGACTACACACATTAACCCTTTCCCGTCATTGACGATTTTTCGTCTTTGTGTTTTCACTGTTATATGGTAGGAGGCGCTATTACACATCTTCTGAGAGTACTGAATCTCTGCATCAAATACATACCTTCTATGTAGATATCAGAGAACAATTTAAAATATTGAATCAATGCATTCTATGGCACATTTAATGCAGCAGCACAAACAAGCGATTGTGTATGTAAGCAGATGCATATGCAAAATACAATCATCAAACAGCATGTAAATCAAGACTAACATTACTGAATGAAATGAAATGGACTCAATCTACTATGCCATTTTCTCAGCTTTTTGTTCAAAATGTTGCTTTTTTTTTTTTACATTAAAAACTTACATTCAAGTGTTAATAAAAAGAAAAGAATGCATGAAGCTACAACAAAACGTTGTTTTGTTTAAAAGCAGAGGCTCGGTTCTTTTAACATATTGCACGTTCAGATAATCACACAAAAACGTTTCATGGCCTCCAGAATATTTTAAAGAAAATGATCAATTCTGGCCAATTAAAAAAAAATTAAAAAAAAGAGTTCAAGTCTGAAATTTGTAACGACATTCTTACAATTATTTCATAATAAAATGTAAACACATTTAAACTAACTTGACAAGATTTGGATTGGTGCTTAACCAAAACAATGCATATATTTTTTTTATTATTTGCTTTGCCGTTTTATCTTTATTTGTAATCAATTAGCATAGCTAGCAATTTGCTTGCTTACACAAGCAGTCCCAATCAAAAAAAGCACAACTTTTGTTTTAGAATCAAACGGGTAAATTACAAAGTGGTTAGGCCACACATCTCCCTGACAATCATCTCTTACCTCTCCATGTTTCGTCTCTTTGCTCGACGCAGAGCCACAATGCCCTCTTTAGCCAGCGCGTCCAGAGAGAATGGATCAATACCCTGAACACAACAAATACTTCAGCTTTAGCAAGCTGTGCAGGTTAAGAGTCAAAAGACAGAAACTCTACTGCTCTGATGAATACACGCAGAATGTTTAATTCTAGAGCTAAACCTAAGAATGGTGATCAATACTAACGGTGATGTCAGTATATTCTAAAAACTAAAAGAATAGATGACCTTCTGGTTGATGACCACAAAGCCCTTCTTAGTATCTGCGCACACTTTATTCTTCAGCTCGATTATTTTCATCACACGATCTTCGATGAACTTCCTCTCCGCCTTCACCAGCTTGTCTCTCTCGCCTGCGCTCTTGTAGAAGAACCCCGAGTTCACTTCTCTGTGAAAACACACAGCGGGTACGACTACAGATTTACTCATTCACAGAAACACCCAGCAATCTAAACACGGGCATTCGCAAAGCCTACGTTTTCTCGTATTCCAAGGAAACGTTGCAAGTGAGAACGAAAGCGTCCTCCACCCTCTTCCTCATGTCAGGATGCCTGGCTCCATGATCCAGCACCAAGCCTCTGATCAGTCTAAGCATTAAACACAACATTACTAGATCATATGACTGCAGTTTCAGGGTGAGCTACTCCGGAGATATCTATAGGATATCTAAATGAAGCGTAAAGTGCACATAAGAGAAGAGAGGACGATCTTACTGTGTATCGCTGTCAGTTTTGTGCCTCATCTCCATGATCTCCACCATGTAGAGGTCGATGGGCTCGCTGGGTTTCCTGATGGCCAGAACAGCATCCACCACAGCCTGAGGAAAACGAGGCATGCCAGGGTGTTACAGGCCAACCGAAGCAAAATACAGGTATCTGTCTGAAAAAAAGTGGTATCGGTGCATCTCTAACACATACACACACACACACACACACACACTACCGGTGAAAAGTTTGGGATCAGTAAGACTTGTAATGTTTTTTAAAAAAAAAGTCTCTTCTGCTCATCAAGGCTGCATTTATTTGATCAAAAATACAGAAAAAAAGTGAAATATTATTGCAATTTAAAACAAAGTTTTTCTATTTTAATATACATTAAAATATAATTTATTTCTGTGATCGAATCTGTATTTTCAGCATCATTACTGCAGTCTTCAGTGTCACATGATCTTCAGAAATCAGTATAATATACTGATTTATTATCAGTTCTGCTGCTTCATATTTTTTTTGGAACCTACTATATTTTTTGGGAAACTGTGATACTTTTTTCAGGATTCTTTGATGAATAAAAAGTTAAAAAGAAGAGCATTTATTTAAAATTTAAATATTTTCTAACAATATACACTACTGTTCAAAAGTTTGAGGTCAGTACATTTTTATTCTTTCTTTTTTTTTTTTTAAAGAAATTAAAACTTTTATTCAGCGAGGATGTGTTAAATTGTTAAGAAGCGATAGCAAAGATTTATATTGTTAGAAAAGATTACTATTTTGAATAAATGCTGTTCTTTTTAACTTTTTATTCATCAAAGAATCCTGAAAAAAGTATCGCAGTTTCCCAAAAAATATTTGGCAGCACAACATTGATAACTCTAATAATAAATCAGCATATTAGAATGATTTCTGAAGATCATGTGACACTTTATACTAGTACTACCCTGATAGTATTTATTTTAAATGACTCCTGGTAGTGCTTAAGATATTGTTGGTCATTCAGTGCTTCTGGGAATTTTTTTTTTTTTTTACCATAATACTGATTCGCTGAAATCAAAACACGGATGATAATAGGTGAGCACCAGCCAATGAGATTATTTAGTTCCGTCAACTACCAGATGCTCTGTGCAACTATCAAGAACTTTTTTCCATTTCATTACCCCTTTAAAGGCAATGCGATGATCACACCTTGTTAGGACAGAAACTCATCGTAACACGGGCCAAACAGGATTCATTGCTTGCATCGCATCACACCTGACTGAACTCCAAACGATGTTTCTCACCTCTGTTAGTAAATCGGCCAACTCCACGTGGACCTTGGTTCTGAGGGAGGTGCGGGCGACACTGATGAGAGTCTCTCTGTCCATCTGCTTCACCACCGTCACCTCCTCCAGCACCTCGAGAGCCTTGTCCTTAGCAGCCTCGAAGCCCTCAGCGATCACCCGGGGGTGAAGACCCTGTGGACAGACGGCCATCACTTCTAACATAAGAAAAAATAAACTAACACTGAAAGTTAGAAATTTAAGGAGTGCATGTAAACCTCGGAGACGTGGAGGTCTGCCTGCTTGAGGAGCTCTCCGATGATCAGCACATTGGACGTCGTGCCGTCTCCGGTGATGTCATCCTGGGCCGTGGCCACCTTGGCAATCAATGAAGCGGTGGGATGCTGGATTTGCTGAAGACAAATCAGAACATCAATGAAGGCGAGCCGTTTCAGAGCAATAGACAGGGGCGCAACCCTTTAACATAGATATCAAAATTCATGTGTGAACAAACAGTTGGGAGAAAATCAGATGCGTGTCTGTATATGTGAGCACAAAAGCAGTGTTAAGTCGCTGGGGGATATTTGTAGCAATAGCCAACAATACATTGTATGGGTCAAAATTATACATTTCTCTTTTATGCCAAAAATCATTAGGATATTAAGTAAAGATCATGTTCCTTGAAGATATTTTGTAAATGTCCTACCGTAAATATATCAAAACTTAATGTTTGATTAGTAATATGCATTGCTAAGAACTTCATTTGGACAACTTTAAAGATGATTTTCTCAATATTTAGATTTTTTTGCACCCTCAGATTCCAGATTTTCAAATAGTTGCATCTCAGCCAAATATTGTCGTACCCTAACAAATCATACAGCTTATTTATTCGGCTTTCAGATGTGAAATCTACGCTTATGACTGGTTTTGTGGTCCAGGGTCACATATTACATCCATGCATTAGGTCTTAAAGTGACAGCAGCCCAAGTTATGCAGACCTGGCAGTGGCAACCCTTGGCACTATAATATTTGTCCATACAATGGAAGTCAATATGAAACAAAACAGTTTGCTCACCAACATTCACAATATCTCCCGTTAGGAACCACAGAACAACAAAATTAATCAGTTATTAACCGCATTCCAAGTTTTCCAACTTTTAAAAATCACTTTAAACAACCACAAATGGGTTTGTTATGGTTTTCTATTATGTTCTGAAAAAAATAAAAAAGGTTTTCGGTTTTTGTTTTTCATTCTTTGAACTATTCTAAATGTATGATTTAAAGATTATAAGCAATCCTTGCGGTCATTGAAACAAACAAAAACATTTTCGTTTTTGGGTGAACCCTAAATTGAACCTGGAATGGTACACTGTAACGCGTATAACTGTTTAACCCCAGCCGAAGGAATCAAGAGCTTACAGATGTCAGATTGGACAGAAATCTTCTCCAATTCAATCTACACCACACCAATGCTTTCATATGGATGCCTCACTCCATCGTGCTCAGATTTAGATGTTGATTCAACACGACCGAGCTACAAAACGCATCTGAGATTAACATGGTTTGTGAGACACTGATTCTGGAGAAGCTGCTGCATCCAAACTCATATCTGCGAGTCACAGCCCTGATGCAATATGGGCCGAATGCCACAATTTTACAAATAAACGCACACGCACCAACATGAAGCGCAGCTCTTACCATCTCATGCAGCAGAACGTTCCCATCTTTGGTGAGCTTGATGTCTCCTGCACCAGACACAAGCCTGTGAGAGGAACACAACACACATGACAGCTTCAGCAAGAGTGCTTTCACTCTATATACATTACTTCAAAATCATTTAGGAATAAAATAAAAAGGTTATTTCTGGACTTTGAAGTCACTGTAAAACTCTAAAAACAGACCTGTAACCTCAATGCATCAGAATTACTGATCGGCCTGTTTGACAACCACATACTGCTAAACATCACTGAGGAACTACAGCACACGGCATTAGCATTCATGTTACAAAGACAGATGAAGGCTCATATCAAAAGGAAGAGGTGCAAACTCTGCCCAAAAGTTATGCACAAATCATAAATGTTCCGTTCTAGGTTGCACCGTGCAAGAAATGTAGAAAATACTTTACAGCAGTTGTATTTTTCCCCCTACAAATTTTCTCCAAAACACTACAGTACAACTGTTTTCTAAAATGCATGCCATCTTTGGCAACGCATATATACATTTTTTAAAATATATTTAGTAGACGTATATTTTTTATTTAATGCCATGTCAGCATCTTAGGCTATTTTCATGGCAAAAACTATTCGAAAAATACAAGTATAACAAATACAAGAAAAACAAAAAAATATATTGTACTTTTGATATATTAAAACATTGTGTATTATCAATTATTTTATTGACTTTGTTAACAGGACAACTATTTATTTATTTAAAGACAAATAACAAGGTGTCCTTGTTCCAGTGTAATTATACACTTAAGTAAAAATTCTATGTGGAGTAATATTCATAAACTACCATTTAGTTAAAAGTGGCTATTAAACACCAGCTCCAGTGCCGCAGATGGATAAGAACTTGCTCTTGGCTTTTTGACGCGATCAACCCGGGTTCGAGCCCACCTTTTGCCGAACTTTTTTTTCCTCCCTTTTCAGATCTCGTATTAGCAATGGATTCTACTTACACCAAGTGAAAATAGCAGTATTTTTTAGCAATATGCTATTTACTGAAAAGGGAGGGAAAAAAAAGTTTGGTAAAAAAAGGCGGGATCGAACCCGGGTCAATCGCGTCAAAAAGCCTACGCCACGCACTTATCCTTCTGCGGCACTGGAGCTGATGGTTTGCAGCCACTTTTAACTAAATGTAAATATATACTCCGTATTCGTTGATTGACAGATGTCATTTACGCGATACAGAAATCGCCAGCCACGCCTTTTACAAAATAAACAAATATTTATTTGACAAAAAAGGTTTATTTTTTCATGATCTACTATATCCTCCTGTCTACCCGGAAAAACGTGGATTTAGTATTTTATCATGTCATTACATTGTTTAGAGCAGTGGTTCTCAAACTTTTCACAGCGGTGTACCCCCGGGGCATTTAACATTCTTCTGTGCCCCCTCTCTTCCACTCCAGTCACACCTTTTCTATTAAAGGACAATATTTGCACCCTTAAATTGATTTACAAGTTCATTTTTTTATCTTTATAAAGGCAAATATTTTCTATCCTTATTAATTGTGTCACGTTTATGTTAACATTTCATTAAGTGTATTATTAACATAATAAATAAAGCAATAATGATGGCAAATCGAAGTGATACTTGTAGATTTAAAAATAAAACAGCCAGTAGGTGGCGGCAAGTCGCTGTCTTAATGAGCCAGGCGTTGTGTCATTCATTCATTCATTCATTCAGTAACGAAGTACAATGCTGTAGTTATGAATGGGTTATTAATCACTGACTCTCCAAATCGTTCAAAGCCGCAGATTCGTTCACTAACGAAACACCGCTGTATGATGCTTGGAGACGCAGATGATACGGATTTCGTTGGAACTATTATTTCGTTACAAAATAGAACAAACATGACACTATTCAAATTCGTTGGAACTATTATTTCATTGCAAAATAGAACAAACATGACACTATTCAAAATGTAGGCTACATTTAAAATGTAAAATGCTCACTAAATGTTACCTTTTTTGTTGAACTGTTGTAAAAATGAATGGCACATTTGCCATCGTTTGGATAATTTGCATTCTTGCTCGTATCTTAAACATGAACACAATAACACGCACCGAGTGTGTCTGTATCGAAGAGCGTTTAAATCGATCTCGATGTACAGTGCGTGTCAATATTTGCTCTTCATGCTATTAAGTGAAGATCTACTTTAAAGATACATTGAACAGCAGCGCGATTTGCTAAAGCAGCACATTAAGCCGCCATCCTATCAGATGCACGCTGCTTGTGTGGATGCCGTCAGTTTTGACCGCAAAAAATGAGGTAAGCTGATTGGATATCATGTAGCTAGTTGACCGTTTACGGCACCCCCATTTTCTTGTTTTTACATTAGAAGTGGCATTTTGCTTGTCAGAAATACGTACGGTTTTAATGTTGCTTTAAGTTGGGGTATTAAATTAATGCATTTTGTTCGCGTACCCCTCACCGTCACCTCACGTAGCCCAGTCTGAGAACCACTGGTTTAGAGCATAAGAATAAATGTGAAAAATGATACTTTATTCACCTGTAGAGGACATCGGGACTTTAAAAAGTCCTGTTTTTTTAAAAAGTGCCCCTGTTATGGGTTATGAAAGGTTCATAATTTGGTTTTGGGAGTCCCCAACAACAGGTTGACATGCATGCAAGGTCAAAAAACACTTTTATTGTCTTATAATATGCATTTATTTTTACCTTACTTGCTCAAGATTCATTTTTCCAAACTCCTCCTTTGCGTGACGCTAATCTGCGGTGATTGGTCTGATTGGATCTCGCCTGATAAAGCAGTGTTTGTGAGCGCAGTGCTGCTTTGTGTAGAGCGTTACTGTGGAAACAGCTATTTTTACTGCTCCAGAAGCGACATCTAGTGGCGAAGAATGAATTTGCATTTTCATTCAGACCAACGCGTAAAGACCAAGAAGTGGGCGTGCAATATGCTAATGTTTCATGTTGAGGTCAAGATGAAACGCTTGGGATTCGTTTTAAAAACGACTCGTTTAAATGATTCAGAGTCGACTCTTTCTTATGAGAGACAATAACTTTATACACGGTGCACTTTCAGATTTAAAACTTTGCAGGGTGTATTCACTTAGAGCTGTGTTACACACTGCATGAAAGCTCATTTTCTAAAATCCATAATAGGGGCACTTTAACATATTGATCTGTACTGTAAAGTGTTCGCAGAATCATTTCAGCATTATTACTATGTGCAGTTGGTTTAGCCTGCATAAATCAAGTGATGGCTGTGTAGTTAGGTTATAGACTACTGAAAGCATTATAATGGCTACAGTATTGTATTAAATGATAAAGAAGCTGCACTTTTATTTCTGTGTTACTGAGGACAGGAGAAGCTGAGAGTGCACTGATCATCCAGATGGCACGGTGCCTAGCCATGCATTACGTACATTTGCTAAACGTGTCCCTCAACATGTATTCATTCTAACATAAAACCTTGATTGTGTGTCGCCTACCCAAAGACAGTATGCACGCCACAAGAGCTCGTTTAACATTTACTCTACAGCCAAATCCATCCTACATTTCTGAACCTTCAACATTTGTCCAAATGCTAAAAGAAAAGAAAATCTAAAAAGAAATCTCTGGGGACACAGGACTTATAGCGGCGGAGTCATTTGAATCAGTTCACCAAAAAGATTTGTTCAGTTTTGTTCACTGATTCGTTGCATGATGTTATGATGTTAGGTGTTGACAAATGGGTGCTTTTATGTGTTATGACAGAGTCATTTTATTACAATCTGCAAGAAGCTATACTGAGCGTTTCCATCATTGTGTGAACTGCCGAGCATGACTTTGATCAAGCTATACAAAAAAGACAATCATAGTCTAAAATACATTTCAATAGCGTCTTTATCATTGTGTGTTGTCAGTGTCATCAGTCACATTTACACAATCTTTCTGTTCTTGTTATGAAAAAAGACTAGTTAAGTGATCTACATGCCACACTAGTGCAGTCGAACGAGATTCCTGATTCATGTATTTCACTCACATTTTAGATAAAGACATAGAACCTGAAGCGCCACAAATGATTTCCCTAAACCAAACAGATCTTATTTCCTTTATAGGATTGAGTTTTGTTTATACTATACACCTGCTTTGCCTCATTGAACAAGACTGAACGAACAAATGCCTTGCTGTCTCTCACTCAGGTTCCAGTTTTAAGTTCCTTTACTGGCACGACCGATATTTTTACATTTGTATTCCCAAAGCATTCAGGCATTGCCAAGTCAATCAGCAGAACGAGATGACTGATGCACCGAAGCATGGCGTATTCATTCAGTAGCTCAAACCCAATGAAAACACAGCCCACACTTCAATACTCTTGGTTTTGAAGAGAAGACAACCCAAGACGTCACACCTGCTGAGAAAAACAATAGAAACCACCAGAGAGAAATTCGAATGGTTTCCACTACAAATACCATTACAAACCATCAACTTCTAACCATTAAAACCATTAAAAAATGGTATTCTGTAGTGTGTTTTGAGACATATTCCACTAGGATTGAGTGGCTTTAACAAGCCACCAATAGAAGGTGAACAATTACCAGTAGAGACCAATAGGAGTCCATCACAGTTTCCATTAAAACCAATGCAATATCCAGTAAAACCATTACACATTTTGTGATGGTGTCTATTGTTTTTTCAGAATTCAAAATAGAGGGGAACAAGAAATATGAATCCGTGTATGAAAATGAACAAGAACGATTCTTTCATTTAAAAGATTAATTCAGAAACACTGATTTGTTCACAAGCTACGAGCTCTGGGAACACAGAACGACGGTAACTTCAGAATTCATCGAGACACTACAAATGAGACCATGGCACAAGACTATGGTCTTTTGGTTTATTGTTTTTTGAAATGAAAACATAAAATCAGTAGCCACTATGAATCCCTGGAGCTGGTTATGCATTGAGGTATTTGACGAGCACAGGATAGGTGGTGCCGATGTGCTTCTGGTTGTAGTGGTGACAGACGATCTCCACCTCGTAGACGCTGAAGGAGACTTTGACTCGCTCGTTTGGAGACGTGAGGAAACACAGAGTGTACAGAGCAAACTCAAACTCAGGGCTCACACCGATGAAGATGCTTCCTTTGGGCTTGATTCCATTCTTCCAGCTGAACTGCAGAGCCAACATGTGCTTGTTCTCATCCGGCTGGGAACGAGATTGAACGTAAAGTATAAGGAAATTAGGAACAATATGAATATGCTCTACATATCAGAGTATTAGATAGAGTGAACACAAGTGTACTTTACATAAAGTAGGCCTATGCCATTTGGGACAGGGCCGCAAGTCATTTGAGCGTGAATAACTCTTAAATTTCGCTCTGTTTATCGTAGAGCTTTACTGCTTTAGAAGTTGTATAAAAAGTTTTTAAAAAAGCTTAAAGCTTTTGGACACAATTGACTCTTATAGTATGGAGCGTGTATGTTCATTTTTGTTTTGCACAAGAAAAAAATCTATAGCTTTGCAACGACATGAAGGTGAGCAAATGATGACAGAATTTTCACATTTTGGTATCTTTTAATGCTAATTTAGTTATATTGTTTTTTATTATTTGTCTTCAATTTATTTTGTATTTTTCTTTCTATTTTATTGACCTCTGTTTTATTCTGTATTTATATATTATACTTATTACTATTAATAATATTTTATTATTTATTTTTTGTGCATATTTTATTTGTAAATAAATTAATAAATAAAATATGCACAAAAAATAAATAATAAAATACTAATTATTATCATTATTACTATTAATAATATTTTATGATTTATTTTTTGTGCATATTTTATTTGTAAATAAATTAATAAATAAAATATGCACAAAAAATAAATAATAAAATACTAATTATTATCATTATTACTATTAATAATATTTTATGATTTATTTTTTGTGCATATTTTATTTGTAAATAAATTAATAAATAAAATATGCACAAAAATTATAAAAATACTAATTACTATTATTAATATAATAATAAATATAAATGTAATAAGTATAATAGATAAAGAATAAAACAGAGGTAAATAAAAAAAAATTATTAGAAAGAAATAGGGAAAATAGTAATAAACAAAATAAAATGAAGACAAAAAAATAAATAAATAAAAGAGCCACACAAAGACAAGCACTGAGGCAGGTAAATGAATCGAGCTGCTCTATGTTCCCGTCACGTACCTGTGGCGAGCTGGCATTCACACGGTATCCTTTGTAGTCAATGTGTCCTAGTTTCTCTTGTAAGTACAGCTGGATCCAGTTATGAAAGCCGATGACAGTACGACCTCCTCTCGTCTCTCCTACAAAGACATGCTCGAAACCTGAGGAGTCCGGTCTTGTGTGGAGAGAGAAACATGGGGCTCTGAATGGGGAAACTGCTTTAGAAGAACTCGAGAGTATGTAAAAGTTATTCGCCTGTGTGACCAGAAGAAACGTTCTTGAGAAAAAAAAATCATCCTAAATTTGTGATGTAACAGAAATAGCGACAGATCTTTTCTTCTGTTGTGAAAGAAATATAGAAGAAGAAAATCATTGGTGTTATGTGCCAATGATATCTAATTAACGTTATTGAACATAATTATCATGAGATCACGTTGAGCAGCCCATATACAGATTTAATTATGTTAACATATTCAATGTCGTTTTGCTATCTGTGCCAGCAAAGAGACAAATTACACATCTTTTCATACTCATGCTACTTTCATAAGAGAGAGGCAGATTTTTTTCTAACAGTATAATATGCTCTGCATTTCTTCTCATTTCGTGTATAGCCAACCTTGACTAAAAATAACCTTATTTCGATTTACGCTCCTTGAAAATGATGTTTTGGGGGCAGTGGCATTGAGAGAGGCCGAGAGTTTTTTGTAGAGTTGAGTCGAATTGATTTGAGAACTTCTTAAGAATGTTTAAAAAATTGCACTTGTAATTGGAATAACTGTAACATTCTTTTTAGAATTTATCTTAAAGAGATGGTTCACCCCCCAAAAAATCCATCTTTTTTACATTCCGCAGACAAAGCTGTTTGGAATGACACGGGTGAGTCAATTAGGACAGAATGTTGATCTCTTTAACAAAGTTTGTGACTCGTGCCCCAAATGATCTCCTGTAAGTTGTTCTGAATCCTCTGTACTTACTTACTGGCTCCTCTCCTGGCGTACAGCTCAAACCAAATGTGATAGAGCTGCTTCTTGAAGTCTGCGGTGTCCTCTGGAGAGAGATGCTTCCTCACTAGATATCTGTGGGCCATCTAATATTAGAAAATATACAATTGTTGCAACTTACTATTCAGCACAGCGTCTTACACAAATGGTAAGGGATCATAATTTCATTTCTCTTTTTAGATTTACTTCTATGCATAGCACTTGACAAGAAGTAAATCAGTGCCTTATTAAAAACAGAGTGCAGCTGAATCACGCCTGATTCTTGACCCATTTATCACCTTCATAGTGGGGGTCTTTATGATCGAATCCAGGAACTTGTGGTTCTCCAGTTCTTCCTCTGGTGTGACGATCTCCGGTTCACCGGTATCACTTTCATAGTTGTCCAGAAGTGAGATAAAAGCTGAAATGAGACGTATGCAAATATTTCAGCTTAATCTCTAAATTAGTTCCCATACTTGTTTGGATCCATATTATTTCCAATCCTGCCCTGACATGTTAGATGCACTGAGCAAAATCAAAAAGTTGCTCTTTATGTTTGTCAGATTTTCTTTACTTGTTAGAGAAGAAGCGGCAAGTGTTCTAACATTTCTTTTGTTACTGATCCTTAAAGGTACACTGTGGAATTCTGTGCTCCGCCTGTGATTGCTCCGAAACTTTTCACAATTTTAGTGGTTCGCCGCTGGAGGCAATCTTAACTAAACCAGTGCCTAAATGTTTTTTTACCTGATACCAGATCAGGTAAATAGTAGTAGTAAGTACAGTAGTTAAAGGGGTCATGACATGAGAAATCAAATTTGCCTTGATCTTTTGGCATATAAGACTCTTTGCATTATAAACAAAGCATTTATTTAATCGAGCTCCAAAAACGGCTCGTTTGGATCTGAGGGGCAAGATGACGTCACCCGAGCACAAACATTTGCATAAACACGCCTCCAGAGCTAGACATCGAGCCAATAGTCTTCTACTCAGCATAGGCCCCGCCCACTGGAGGTTCAGTCGCTAACGGCGACACGTGATCACGCTGAATGTGTCAAAATCAGATAGAAATCACAATCACTGCGCTATCTGGTCTACACTGGATACACAGATATGAGTCTGTCGTCAGGACAAATGCAGTGAAAGATCGTTCGCTTTGTCGCGTTTGGTTTAAACAACTCGTTCACGTCTTTGTACAGATATCAGAAGGAAACTAGTGGATGGTTTATTTTAATAGGAGGATTTTGTTTTGTAATCGAGGCACAGTGTCATGGAGAGTCACAAAGAAACATCTGTTGAGAGATGAAGCGGGACTAGATCTGTCCGCAGCTGCATCACAAACCGTAAGCAAAGGATTTCATAAAGCTTCGTCTGGAAATGACCCTTTTATTTTGATCAGGTGTGCTAGACACTGATTAATGTAACATAAAAATACTATATTTATATATTTTGCTATTGTATTGTGGAGTGACACTTTCATAAACTTGTCTATACTCCTCTGATTATATAATGGTAAATATTACAATATCATAGCACAACAACAGTGATCAGCAATAATGATAAGCCTAATACTCACAATAAAAATAATAAGGTCATATAGATCATAACACAGTCTCGGAGGTAAGAAGTGGATTATGCTTCACCTGAAATGTTTGTCTTTTCATCCTGAAATGCGAGGCAAATGTTGGATCACAATAATTAGGAACCACAGTTTGCACAAACCCCTTCATTTGATTGGGATGTGCTCTTTTATTCTAGACGGCAAGGGTAGTGACTGTACCATCGAGCGTATTTTGCAGTATTAAACACGTATTTATACCGATTTCATCAGGCTCCGAAAGTTCTTCTACAAGAACACAAAGACTGGCCTTCTCAGCTGCCGTAGCTGCAACTCTTGCGTCATCAGAACAGAGTGTTCAACGCACCACCGTTTCCGTTTAAAAAAACGTTTTGCACCGTTTTGTCAGGTGATTACTGACGGGCCTTAAAGGACACGCCCCTTTTAAAAACAGCAGGGTCAGAATGAGGGTTGAAAATTATAATTTTCCCACATATTTATTTATTTGTGTGTGTGTGTGTGTAAAAAACCGCTATTAGCATTATAAGTAAACCTCAAGGAGCATATTAAAATAAAATAAAAAATCCATGTCATGACCCCAATTAATTGTCTCTTACTGGACTGAATAGCCAAGTCCTCCATAAAACACACAAAACAAGCCTTGCAAAAAAAAAAAAAAAAAGTTAATGTGTTTTGAGCAAATAAAAAAAGCAA